AAGAAAGTGGTAGTCAAATATTTTTGTACATTAGAGATAGTTGCTAATATTCAGAAGTGTACTGTCCTGCATCTCTGGTCTAGATATAGACAGTGGTAGGTAGTTCAGATCCCCTTCCCAGTTACTTCTTTCCAAAGGTAAGGTATATACAGACCACTAGCGTTTCTCATTCAAGTCAATGCTTTAGGTAGGAGAAATTTCTCACAGCTTGGCAATGACTCAATATTATCCTTAATATTCATGTCTTTTTGGATTGTAACATATATGGGAGTTTAATAAGACATACATTTAACTTAAAGGTGAACTGAAATGATAATTTCCCTAATTTTCAGTTGCATCAATTCTCATAAGAACATATGTTGATAGAAGAATAGAAAACATTAGGAAACAAACACTTTATAATTCTTCACTCCTACTCTTCATAACTTGGGATTTGACATTCATCTTAAAGGTATAATAGGTCACATCTATCAAAAACATATCTATAGGGGTGACTGGATAATATAATGTTATCTACATCTACATCTATATGGTCCTATATATTTTAGGTAGTAGGTATTCTAGTACAGCCAGATAATTTTTGACATCATGTGGTTCTTCTTTATTATATTTTAAACTTTTCTGAGGGGCTGGGGATATGGCTTGTGGTAGAGTGTTTGCCTGGCATGCATGAAGACCTGGCTTCAATTCCTCAGTACCACATAAACAGAAAAAGCTGGAAGTGGCACTGTGGCTCAAGTGGTAGAGTGCTAGCCTTGAGAACAGAGAGGCTCAGAGACAGTGCCTAGGCCCTGAGGTTCAAGCCCCAGGACCAGCAACCCCTACCTACCCCCCCCACCAAACCTTATCTGAATACAATATGACTGTTGAGCTAGGGAATTATAGCCCTAATTAATACCATACTAACTTCTATATTGGTTTACTTTGTATTTATTTTGTATGTGATTTGACAGTGTACATGGTTTATAGTCAATGAGTAGTTTTTGGAAAGTTCTATATAGTAGTTAGGCTTGCACTTCAAGCTCTCTTTAAGACATATGTTTTGTTGCTTCAAGACAGTTTTAATGTCTAAAATTCCTACCTTGCGATATTTCCAAATTAATATTTATAAAATTATAAGCATTGTTTTCTTTTTCAATATTGGAGTTTGAAGGGCCTCATGGCTAAACCAGCATTCAACCACTTGATTCACTCTGCCAACCCATTTTCATGTTGGCAATTTTTTGATAAGGGCTTGCCACATGCCTGGACTAGTTTGGATTACAATCCTCCTTTTTATGCTTTCCTTTGTCACTAGGATAAAAAGCATGCTCCAGTGTGTCCTGCTAGTGGTTGAGATGGAGTCTCATAAACTCTTATGCCTCGGCTAGCCTTGAACCATGATCTCTTGACATCCATGTTCCAATGAACTAGGATTATAGCCTTCGGCTATCAAGTCCAGCCTAACATTAGAATTTTAAAGGTATTAAATAGACTTAAAAATGTAATTAGTTTTAATTGATACATAAAACCATAAAATGTTAATGAGGTACTATATGCTGTTTAAACACACACATATACATTGTATAATGTTTAAATTAGGTTAAGTATATAAATTTCAAACATTTATCACTTCCTATGGTAAAAAATTTTAAAGTCTTCTATCTATCTATCTATCTATCTATATATCTATCAATCAATCAAACATTGTTGTTATCTATAGTCATCTTTCTGTGCAACAGCAGTCAGAATGTTTTACTATTTGGAACTTAGTACTCATTGATCAACCTTGCTATTAGTTTTAAAAGTGACTTATAAAAACAACAGGCTCAAATTCTTGTTGTGTTGTTGTTGGTTATGGGGCTTGAACGCAGAGCCTGGGCATTGTCCCTGATCTCTTTTTGCTCAAGGCTAGCACTCTACCACTTTGAGCCATAATGCCACTTCTGGTTTTTGAGTGGTTAATTGGAGACTTAATGGGGACTTTTCTGCTTCGGCTGGCTTTGAACCATGATCCTCAGATCTCAGCCTTCTGAGTGGCTAGGATTACAGGCATGAGCTACTGGTGCCTGGTAAGGCTCAAATTCTTATATGGAAACATTTCCACCTTTCTATTTTAAAAGTCACGAAGGTTTTTGGTACTAGGGAAAAATTTCACAGGAACAAAAGGTTAATATTTATCAATGTCAGTCACTAATATTTTGAAACCATATTAATTTGCCTTAGAAAAAAGATTATTTCTTAATTATATCACAGTATTTACATATCAGCTTTTTATGTCATATCAATCTTCTATAAAACAAAGTTCCTAGTTTGCTACACAGTAAACAGTACTACACAGTAAATTTATATAGTTAAATATTTCTACAGAGTGTACAGTTCTTAAAAATTATGGAAATAGTTTGTGAGTTTGTCCTTGAATGAGGGCACCATTTCTCTTGTGGGTCATTAAATCACTTAAGGAAAAATATTGAGCATAAATGCACAGAACATTCCACCTTAAAAGTATAATACCTTAGTGGTAGAGCACTGGCTCAATTCTCATGAGACACTGGAGTCAACACTGAGTATAAAATAAACACAAAACTCTGTCTTTTGTGTTTTGGATACTGGTCCTGGGGCTTGAACTCAGGTCCTGGACACTGTTCCTGAGCTTTTTTTTGCTAATGGCTAGCACTTTACCAATTGAGCTACAGCTCCACTTGTGTTTTTTGATGGTTAACTGGAAATAAGAGTCCCATGGACTTTCCTGCTTGGGCTGGCTTGGAGCCTGAATCCTTGAGTATCCATCTTTTATTAACAAATTAAAGCAAGGAAAGGAACATAAACCCTCTCTATAATATCTCTGTATTCTAATTTTGACTTTGAAAGTTTCATAAATTTTCTTTACCATCTCCAATCTAAAGGGAATGAGTAATTTTTACATGACTAAATTAAAAAAGTAAGATACGTCTATGTATGTAATTTCTGCTATCCCTACTTACAGAGCTAAAAAGATTTAGAGAAGGATGTGCTCTTAAAGTAGAAAAATTAAACTTCAGAGTGTTGAATACAGCTGTGTGCTGATGGCTCACACTTGTAATACTAGCTACTCAGGAGGCTAGGTCCAATTACAGAGGTATGAAGCCATTCTGGGTAGAAAAGTCTGTAGATTTTCTCCAAAACAACCAACAAAATCAGAACTACAGGTATGGCCCAAGTGGTAGAGCACTAGCTGAACAAGCAAAACAAGCAAGCTTGAAGCCTGAGTTTAAACCGTAGCATAGCCGAAAGAAACAAAAGAATGTTTAGCAGTAACATTCTTAGGAAATTCTCCTATCCTAGTATCACTCTCTACCGTATATTTTTATTTGACTTATTCAAGCCACACCATTAATTTGTGACATTCTCTAGTACACATAAAATTTATTCTTATTCCAATAATTAATCAACCTGTAGTTCTTTAATAAAGTCAAAATTAATTCCCTAAATATCTCTTTCTACTACATACATAATACATATGTTTTTAAGTATGTATAATATATGGTTTATATATGTATACACACACCAAAATAACATGTTCTTACATAAATATGGCACAGTACATCAGCTATTTCTAGAGAAGTATATTTGGAGAAAATGCTAATGTTAGTGAAGTTTGGTTTTGAAGATTTTCTAACAATATTGAAAAGAAAATCTCTATAAATAACACTTATTTATAGAGTAACATTCTAGATTAACAAAATTTAGAGTAAAACTAGATTTGACAAGAGGCCCCTACTTATTTATTGTTTTGGTGTGTGTATGCCAGTACTGGGGCTTGAAGTCAGGGGCTAGGCATTGTTCCTGAGCTTTTTGTCCCCCTCCAGTCTAGTGCTCTACCACTTGGGCCGCAGCTGTATCTGTAGCTTTTTGGTGGTTACTTGGAGATAGGAGTCTTATAGACTATTCTGCCTGGGCTGGCTTTGAATTGTGATCCTTAGATCTCAGAAACTTAAATAGGTAGGTTTACAGGCATGAGCCATCAGTGTCTGGCCCAGAATTGTGGTTTGATCTCATGTTTACAGAATAGTGGTAGAGGCAATGAAGGAATGTACTGAGGAGTCATGGCAGAGAGTGATGATGGGGTGAAGACAGTGGGACTCTCTTAACACAGATTGTTTCGGTAGTAAATTCAATACATAGGATGCTCACAAAATTTATATAACCACCTAACAGTTAATTTGTCTATAATTATTTTCTAGAGAAAAAATCTATTTCCCTAAAGTGATGATACTAAGTATTAGTCACTAAGAAGCTGTGTTGTAAAAGAATAGAAAGAATTCCCTGGTACACAGTAGACAGTCAAATATGTTGATCTGATTGGTTTTCTTTGGCCTGAATCTGACTTAAGGAGCATGAATACATTCCCAAGTAAGAAGAGATCATAAACTGTTTTAATATACTAATAGGTGTTATGTATCCTTGACATAGATAATCCCATATGAAGTACCTAGAATAGAAAAATCCACAGAGATAAAAAGTAGTCTAAAGATTATCAGAGATTGGGAAGAAGAAGAAAAGGAAGGATAATTTATTGTTTTTGTTGTTTTGTGGTACTAAGGTTTGTTTTGGTGGTCCTTGTGCTTGCTTGGCAAGTGCTCTACCATTTGAGCCATACTTCTAGCCCTAGATTAAATGCTTAATGAGAACAGAATTTGTTTGGGGTGATAAATTTGGAGTTAGTAGTGATGATTTGTGCAGCGTTGTGATTATAAGCAATGCCACTGAATATTAAAATGGTTAAGCTGATGAATATTAAGTTACATGTATTTTACCACAACAGATAAAAAGTTGACCCTTTATGGTTTATAATTCTTCAAAACCAATAAGAGTTATAGATAATTTAGCACTTTATTTCCTCCACATAAAATAATTCATTAATTATGTACTTCTGATCATAATTGTGACAAAAATATCCAGTTTTTCTTTTTCAGAAGAGAAATTAAAAAAAGTAAAATACAAGTGAAGAAAAACAGAAAAAATCAAAACAAGCTTCTTACTTTAATTGGCTCAGGTTGCATCACAGGTGCAGGCATAGCAATGGCACTTGGTGCATAAACCTGGTGATAGGTTGCTTGGACTCCATGATCAGAATAAGGCTATTACAAAAAGGGGAAAGATGGAGGGAGCGAGAGAGAGAGATTAATAAGAGATATTTGTTCAGCATTTGTACTAAGCATTCTGTTACACAACGGAGAAAAACAGACAAAAATCCATTCCAAAGGCTGGGCTTGGAATTGTAGCTATTTGAGAGGTGGAGGGAAGAAGACAGAGGGATATAGGCCAGCTGGGCAAAGTTATGAACACTCTATCAAAAAAAACACCCCAAAATAAAAACCAAATGGCTGGGGACATAGCGTAAGTAGTAGAGTACTTAAGGCCCTGGCTTCAACCCCTAGTACCTGGAAACAGGCAAACAAACAAAATCATTCACCTGGGCATGGTACCGCACACTTATAATCTCAGCACTAGGAAGGCTGAAGTACAATCATGAATTAGAGGCCACCTTGGGTTACATGGAGAGTCTGAGGCCAGCCTGGGCTCTATCTATCTATCTATCTGTCTGTCTATCTGTCTATCTATCTATCTATCTATCTATCTATCTATCTATCTATCTATCTATCTATCTATCTATCTATCTATCGGTATATAGAGTGAGGTCCTGCTTTTTAATAATTTAATAATGTTTTATTTAAACCAATTGTATCATTTCAAGGAATAATCAATTTTCAAGTTCTTAAGTTTTTAAACATTGTTTTCATACTACGTCTTCATAACTTAGTGTTTTGATTTTTTTTTTTGCACCAGTCCTTGGGCTTGAACTCAAGGTCTGGGTGCTGTCCCTGAACTGTTATGCTCAAGGCTAATGCTCTACCACTTGAGCCAATCCTACACACCCAGCTTTTTGGTGGTTAGTTGGAGATTAAGAGTCTCATGGACTCATGGTTGGGCTGACTTCAAACTGTGATCCTCAGATATCAGCCTTCTGGGTAGCTAGGATTACAGGGTTGAGCCATTGATGCCTAGCCCTTGTGTGATTTTTACATTTACAGGACATCTTAATTTGCTCTTACTACATTTCAGTTCTCAGTTTCCACATGTGGCTAATTGGATATACTGCCTAAAATTCAAGACTGATGCTGGAGCTAGAGGCAAAGCTAAGGATGACATCAAAGTGAGTATACAGAATCAAACCAAAAATAACAGGCAACCAAAGATCAAATTACAAAGAAAATAAAGGGAGGGAAAAATACATTTTTAGAAAAATCTTATTATATTCTAGTAAGTATGAATATACTTTTATGACAAATAATCTGACATGAAAAACTAAGAGTATGACTGAACCAGAATTCAACTTTACTATAGAGCCATAATAACAATAACAGTTTGATGCAGGCCCAAGAGCAGACCTGAAGACCAAATGAACAGAATAAAGATCAAAGATAATTATAGCTATCTCATTTTTGGCAAAGGAACAAAAAAATACAAGTTGGAAAACAACAGCCTCTTCAACAAGTGTGTTTGGAAAGCTAGATATCTCTATGTAGAAGACTGAAACTGGATTCCTGTTTCTCCTTTTCTACTAATATTAATTCAAAGTGGATTAAAGACCTTAATTTAAGACCCCAAACCTTGAAAATACCACAGGAAGGACTAAACACTAGAACTTACTGGCATAAGCAGGACTTCCTGAGTGGGATTCCAGGGGCTTGGCAGTTAGGAGAATTGACAAATGAGATTACGTGAAGCTAAAAAGCTTCTGCACAGGAGAGGTCATAGTTACTAAGCTAAAAAGACAGCCAACAGAATGGGAGACGAGTTATTTCCAGATATACATTTAAAAAGGTTCTAAAGTCAGAATATATAAGGAGCTCAAAAAACTAAACTCTTAACGATTCAATAATCCAATTAATAAATGGGCAAAGGAGCTAAATAAACACCTCTCAGAAGTAAAACTGGCCAGCACATAAATTATTATTTTTTTACATCCGTGGCTACAAAGGAAATGCAAATCAAGTAACATTCAGAGTCCATCTCACTCCAATAACAAATGCTGGCAGAGATTCAGGGGAAAAGAACCCTATTACACTGTTGGTAGAATGTGAATTAGTACAACTACTATGGAAGGCACTATGGAGGCTCTTCAAAAAACTTAAAATAAGAACTGCCTTATGATTCAATGACATCATTCTTGGGCATCTATTCAAAAGGCTGCAAGTCAGGATGCAATAAAGATACCTGAACAATCATTTTCATTAGTGCCACTCTTCACCATAGCTAAGCTATTGAAACAAACGAAATACTCTACAACCAAAGAATGGATCAAGAAAATGTGTGACACACACACATATACACAACATAATCTTAGTCACTTATAGGAATAATATGTTATTTGCAGGGAAATATATGGATCTGGAAAAATACATTCTGAGTGAAGTAAGTCAAGCTTAGAGACAAACAGTGCATGTATTCTCTCATGTGAAAGTACATACATGGCCATATGTATATATACATTATCAATCTGACTAAATTACAGCATATATAGGAGTAGATTTCCATTGTGTAATACTTTTGAGCAATTCACAGTTTAACAAAATGAATATATGAGGGATATGAAGGTTAAGGGGAGGGAGACAGACAAATGGAGAGATGAATAGTGGGTAATTATAATACTCAATGTGAAAATGGAGTTAGGGAACTTGAGGGGATGAGTGGAGGTGGTATAGATAGGAAGGGCTGGCACTGATCAAGATGTACTGCACACATAAATTGACGCATAGAACTGAAACTTCTTTGTACAACTATTTAAAGATAATAAAAAAGAATATGGTTTAGCTGGGTGCTGGTGGCTCACACCTGTAATCCTAGCTACTCAAAAGGCTGAGATCTGGGGGCTGCAGTTCAAAGCCAGCTGTGGTAAGGAAAGTCTAAGAGTCTCTTATCTCCAGTTAACCACCAAAAAAGCCCCAGGACTGGCACAAAAAAGAAAAAAAAAGAAAAAAAGAATATGGCTTAATGTCAACAGTAGATTTGGGCTAAATACGTAATATATAAAAGAATGCTTAAACTTTACTCTCCTTTCCCTGAAACTGGAAAATAAGAAAAACAGTAGTATAGATTAAAAAAATTACATCATGAATTAAGAAAATATCCACTATTCCCAAATTGTAAACAATGAAGAATATCTGCCAACATTGTGAAATTTAGCCCAATTTGAGGGGAGAAAAGGACTCTTAAACATCAGGATGGACAAAGATATCTCTAGAGGTCAATAAATGACCTATCTAAAGCTGGGAGCCGGTAGCTCATACCTGTAATCCTAGTTACTCAGGAGGCTGAGATACGAGGATCTAGGTTCAAAGCCAGCCAGGCAGGAAAGTCCGTGAGATTCTTATCTCTAACAAACCATTCAGAAAATTGGAAGTGGCGCTGTGGCTCAAGTGGTAGAGTGCTCGCCTTGAGCTGAAGAGCTGAAGGACAAGTGCCCAGGCCTACAGTTAAAGCCCTATGACCAACCAAAAAAAAAAAAAATCTATCTAAAGAATCACTAGATACTTGAGAATAGAGGTGCATTGTATGGTCAGTCCAAAGAAGGAATATCTCCACAGGGATCCAGTTTTATATTGCTTAACATTAGGAGAGGTAGAACTGAAGAAGAAATTATGCTTATACTATTTTTGGTGTCTTCCAGTTGAGAAACACTGCCAGAGAAGCATAGTGAAAGTAAAAAGAATAGTAATGATTAATACATCCCACTACAGAAAACTAGTTATTAACAGTAATTTCACTAGAAACCAAAGTAAATCAAGCATGTGGAGAAAAGAGAATCCTTATATATTATTGGTGGGAGTGTAAGTTAGTACAGACATTTTGGAAAGCAGTATGGATATATATGTATATGATAATAAAAATATATAGTAATATATATTAATATGGATGCTCATGCTCTTTACAGCATTATTCACAACAGTAGAATACCAGAGGGAGGTAGCTCAATAGAAGACCACTTGCCTAGCAGATGCAAGGCCCTGGATGTGACCTGCAGCACTGCAAGAAAAATAAAACTTCTTGTCTGACACAGTAGCAGTGATATAAAATGAACCTTATTGTCCATCAATGGATGAATTAAATGTGGTTTTTATATATGTAAGAAAATATTATTCATGAAGCCTGGAGGCCATTGTGCTATGAAATGAACAAGATATAAAAAGATAAATGTTGCATCCGTCTTCATGTGTGGAATTTAAAAGTGATGAAGCAGAGTAATGGTGGTTGCCGTGGGACAGAGGAGGAGGAGGGGAAGATGTTGGTCAAACAATGCAGAAGTTCAACTAGACAGGTTAAAGATATCCTGAAGATTTTGTACAGCATGTCAACTATAGTTAATTACAATGTGTTACACACCTGAAAATTACTGAAAGATCTTAAATTTTTTTTTTTGTTTTGGGTCCGGTTGTGGGCCTGAACTCTGGGCCTGGGCGCTGTTCCTCAGCTCTTCAGCTCAAGGCTAGCGAGCTACCACTTGAGCCATAGCACCACTTCCAGCTTTTTTTTTCTTCTGCTTATGTGCCCAGGGCCTCATGCATGCAAGGCAAGTGCTCTACCACTGAGCCACTTCCTAGTCCGGAGAGATCTTAAATTTTATCATTTCAAATATAAGATGTGGTGATGTATTCAGTTGACTGTGGTAATCATTTTATATCATGTATATCATAAATATCTACAGTACACTTTTTTAAAATTTTACTTCAGTAAAGCTAGGACTACAAAGAAAATAGAAACTACAAAAAATAAACAGAAGCTGGGTGTCAGTGGTTCATTCCTGTAATTCTAGCTTCTTAAGAGGTGAGATTTGAGGATCAAGGTCTTGAAGCCACCCAGACAGATCTTCAAGATTCTTATCTCCGTACGAGTAACAAGCCAGAAACAGAGGCTTGGCTAAAGTGGTGGAATACCAGCTGTGAGTGCAAAAGCCTAGTGAGAACATGAGGTCTTGAATGCAAGCCTGGTACTGGGCACAAGTAGAAACATGGTAGGGTAGGACAAAGAATCAAGGAATTCTAATAAAAGGATTGATAGTCAACATTAAGATCCAACGTATGCTATAAACTTTTCTAATATAAACATAATAAAATAATACACAAACTGGGAGGTGGGCGCTAATTTCTAGTCTTGCACAATACTGATTTAAAACATACCAAGCCACATATACAGCTTCTAGTATCCAGATGGGAGGCAATTAATGATGGATCAAAGATATAAATCAAAGACTTGAAGATGATATTTGTAATTTGTAGTTATGAAATAATTTTGATGTATATTTTTGAAGGAAGAATTTTTTATTTTTCATTGGCATAATGATTATATGCTTGTAACAGGTTATTAGCAATAATACAGATTAACAGGAAAATGAGAAGGTAAAAACATTTGATAGTTTACTGTTTTCTATTCAACTTTTTCTCAACTTAGTATATCTTATTATGTTCAAGGAGATTTTAGGAATGGTTCAGGACTGGTTAATTAAGAAGTTTAAGATAACACATTCTTTTACATAAAAGTGAGGAAGAAATATGAATAGATAAAAGAAAACATAAGTCATAATGAAAAAGGAAAAAAATGTAAAGATGAGGATGTTATAGATCTATTACTTTAATACTAAGTAGGGATGAGGATGTAGCTCAGTGGTTGAGAAATTGCCTAGCATGTGCAGGTCCCTGGGTTCAGTCCCCAGCACTGGAAAAAAAAAAGATGAATATATACCTCTGGAACTGAAGCTTCCATCAGAGACAGTGGAGGAGGAACACATCCACCATCTTGTGCAATTTCCACTGGCTGATAAATGACTTCAGAAGGTTGCAGGTATAAGAATGGAGTAGACGAGGCAGGAGACTAAAATGTAAAAACATATTTACAATTCAGATATAATTATTTTTGTTAAGCAAAATGACTTACCAACAGATGAAAAAAATATTTCATGTTTTCCTAAAATTCTTTTTCAGGGATAGCTTTATTTCAGCAATAGACTAAGAAGAACTTTGAATTTCAATTGCACAAATATTGTTAAAATAACTCACTGGTAAGTATTAAAAGCTGTATGGCTTCAGAACCCCATATATAAATTCTAATATTTGTGGATATATTACTATCGCCATTAGAAATTTTAATATTGTAACCTATGGTGTTTAAATTGTGTCTACTTGCAGTTTCATGACTTCCCACAGAATTGGAAAAAAGGTCACTAGGCAGTACTTTTGATGGTATACTGTTTGCTATCAAAAGTTGGAAAACAGAACACAGGTTGAATGTCTCAGAAGTTTTAGATTTTAGAGTATGTTGGATTTTGGGTTAGGAGGTTGGACAAGGAAAGCGTCGGCAGACAATCTAAAATCCCAATGCTTTCCAAAGACAAAACAATCTGGTATTAATCATTTTGAGTAAGTCAAATTGAGCAAAAGCTGATGTGAAGCTAGAAAAATGCTAAGTTTTAAATAACACCAAAATTAACAAAAGTAAATTTTTATGTTTATATATAGCATTCACTTATTTATGAAAGACTTTCATTTCCATGATCTTATTTTGATCTTCACAAAAATACTGGACAAAACGTACAAAGGTATAGTATCATTACATCCATTTTACAAATAAGGAAATGGGAATATAGTGATTAAACTATTCAAGGGACCAGTTAATAAGAGCAAGGTCTCAAACTTAGTTCTCCTGACTTTAGTTTTCAGGCAGTGTCACAAGAATACAGTGAAGAAGGATTTTAAGTTACATTACTGAATTTACCTGAGGAACACCCCACTGCCATTGTCCTGGTAGACACTGTGCTGGGGCCTAAAATAATATATATTTTAAATAAGTACCATTTTATTTTTAATAAGTGAAGTAAACATTTTAGTTTTATATACAGCATAGTAATAAAACTAAAAATACACTTTTCTCAAAGTAAGTCTAATGTTAAAAAACTCAACTATTTAACTCATCATTTCTTTTCTTTTTTGTAATGCTAAGTATTGAAGTCAGGTCTTGTGCATGATAGGGGACAGTTCTACCATTTAACTACATCTGTTCAGTCTCTCTCTGTCTCTCTCTCTGTGTTTCTCTGTCTCTGTTTCTCTCTCTTTGTCTTGTTCTCTCTCTCCTGTCCTGAAGCTTAAACTCAGGGCCTGGGCTCTTCCCTGACACTCTCTGTGTTCAAGACTAGCATTCTACCACTTGCCACAGTGCCACTTCTGGCTTTTTCTGTTTATGTGGTACTGAGGTATCGAACCCAGGATTTCATGCATTCTAGGCAAACATTCTACCACTAAGCCACATTTCTAGCCCTCCTTCAGTATCTCATATGAATTTATTTTAGAAGTTCAAAGAGAAGTTAAACACCAGTGACTTCTGCCTGCAATTCCTGCTACTTGGGAGGCTGAGGATCTCACTTCAAGGCCAGCCTGAGAAGAAAAGTCTGTAAGATCCTCATTTCCACAGAGGTAAGCTGGACATGGTCCATGCCTGTGATCCCAGTAAACTATGGGGAGACTAAAACTAGGCAGACTGCAGTTCAATCAAATGCTAGGGTGGGAAGCAAGATCCTATACTATAAAAACAATCAGTGAGAAACAGGGCTGGAAGTGTGGTTCTGCTGTAGGGGGCTAGCCTAGAAAGCAGAAAGCCTGTAGTTCACACTTCATATACCACAATTATCTGGCATTATACTTTATTTTCAATTTCCTATTAGAATTAATAAAAAGAAATGCTGGTGAATCAAAAGAGCCTGTCATATTTGGTAATAAACTATATTACTTAATTTGATTATTAAATATAATATTAAGACATGTATATGTTAATGATAACATAAAAAAATCAGTGTGTGAACTATTGCAAAATTTCTTTTTGGTAGTGCTAGAGATTAAACCCAGGGCCTTGCTGAGTGCTGGTGGCTCACACCTGTAATCCTAGCTACTTAGGAGGCTGAGATCTGCGGATCACCGTTCAAAGCCAGCCCGGGCAGGAAAGTCTGTGAGACTCTTATCTCCAATAAACCACTAGAAAACCAGAAGTGGCACTATGGCTCAAGTGGTGGAGTGCTGGCCTTGAGCTGAAGAGTACAGGACAGTGCTCAAGTCCATAATTCAAGCCCCACTACTGACAAAACAAACAAACAAACAAACAAAAATAAACCCCACAAAAAACCCAGGGCCTTGTATATGAGCTATACCTCTAGACCACTAAAGACTTTCTATAGTAAATTTTATTTTATATTATTATTTTTAGCAGTACTAGGGTTTTGAATTCAAGGTTTTTATATTTGCTAAGTAGGTGCTTCACCACTGGGGCCATATTCCCATATTATTATTATATTATTGTTTTATTTTTCAGATAGAGTCTCACTTTGCCTTAGGCTGGCTCAGATCTAGATACTACAACCTACACTTCCATGTAACTGGGATTTCAGATATGTTTCACCATGTCTGGCTTGTTTGTTGAGGTGAGAGTATTGCTAATGTTTTTCCCAGGCTGGCCTTGAACCACTATCCTCCTAACCTATGCCTCTCCAGTAATGGATTATGCTACCACATTTGCCTCATCAAATTAAAAAAAAAAGAACAAAACTGACCTTTATAAAAGGAAGCAGAGTTTATTTTCTAATATAACATTGCTTACTTCTCTCATAAGAGGCTTATCAAAGCTTAACTATTTCTAATTAGTATAGTGCATAAGAAGGAACAAAAAAAATTGGTAGTTACATGGAAAAGGACTGAAAGTAGCAGACAGGATCTTAATTGTAATTTAATATCTACCTGGTAGTGATATGCAGGTTGTTGATAAACAGGCTGAGCTACCATCACAGGAGAACTAGATATGGAACGTGACTGTAAAAGAAGGAAAACAAGTTATTCCAGGCAAATACTTTAAAATAACACATTTTGCTATTAAATTTATCATAAATTTTCATATAAACCCAGTCAACTTTTGGTTTATAGTTAAAAATGTTATTTTAAAAACTTTTTTTTGGGTTGGTTATAGGGCTTGAACTCACGGCCTAGGAACTGTATCTGAGCCTCTCTGTGCTCAAGGCTAGCACTCTACCACTTGAATCACAGTTCCACTTCTGGTTTTTGAGTGGTTAACTGGAGATGACAGTCTCACAGGGACTTTTCTACCTAAGTTGGCTTTGAACTATGGTCCTCAGATATCAACTTCCTGAGTAGCTCAAGGATTACAGGTATGAGCCATTGGTGACTGGCTAAAACTCATTTTTTTTTTTTTTAGTGGTACTAGAATCTGAATTCAATCTTGTGTTTGTTAGGCAAGTGCTATATCTTTTGAGTAATGTCCCATAGCCCTTTTTGCCTTCATTATTCTTTTTTCTTTTTTTGGTCTGGTCGTGGGGCCTGAACTCGGCCTGGGCACTGTCCCTCAGCTCTTCAGCTCAAGGCTAGTGCTCTACCACTTGAGCCACAGTGCCACTTCTGGCTTTTTTCTTTTTGCTTATGTGGTGCTGAGGAATCGAACCCAGGGCCTCAGGCATGCAAGGCAAGCGCTCTACCACTGAGCCACCTTCCCAGCCCCTCTTTTTTCTTAATATATATATATATATATATATATATATATATATATATATTTATTGTAAAGATACTGTACAGAGGGATTACAGTTACATGAGCAAGGTAATGTACATTTTCTATTGAGCATTGTTATACCCTCCTTTGTTTTTCCCCTACCACCCCTCCCCCAACATTGTAAATTTCGTTTTCAACATACTGTCTTGTACATCTCATTATTATAATAGGTCATCCTGAATCCTTATTTCAGCATTTTGTTATTTTCCTTTCCTTCCCAAAATTAGAAAAATTAGAAAAATGTACAAGATGCAGGAGGACACCAGAAACAAATACAGTGACAACAGGGACTGTACCATGGGGGAAGAACATACAAAGAAACAGACAAAAAAAAATCACAGAGTACATTATAAGTACATTAAAAAGAACAACAACAGACCCTTTAAAGGGTCTCTTATATGTGCTCAAAGCCAGCCTGGACAGTGATCTGCCTATTTATACTAGGATGACAGGCACACATCACTGTGTCCAGTTATTGTTTGAGATGGGATTCTGTGTTTATGCCTAGCCTGGCCTTGAACTGTAATCCTTTGGAGTCAGCAAGTTGTAATTCAACTCCCAAGTAGCTAAGATTACAGATGAAAGTCACTTCAGTCAGCTTCTACATCTTATTTCTATCATTACCAACTCTATTCAAGTTTGTTTATTAAAATCATCAGGCTTTCTATTCCCATGCGGTTTCTTTTCTTCTTCTTCTCTCTCTCTCTCTCTAGGATATCTATATAGATATCTATCTAGATCTAGATATAGATATCTAGATAGATATCTATATATACAGAAATATATAGATACCTATATATTTATTAAAGATGCCGTACAGAGGTGGTTTCTTTTCTGTAATGTTAAAATAACCACTTGAAAAGTGTCTTTAGTTAGAAATGTATCACCTCCAAAGATTATAAAAATATGTCTAAATGACTTTAGAAAAGGCACCTGAATTTTGGGTGACAATGCTTATTTCCATCATGGAGATCAGTAACAGATAAAAGTCATGACTTTTTTCCCCCCACAGATTTTTCTACTACTTAAAAGTAACATTATATACTTAATTAAAGCAAATGTATTATTTATTGAATTTGGCTTTTGCTAAATTCTGCTGTTCTGTTAGCAATTTGGTATTTAAAAATTCATTATCCAAAAAAAACCTTGTGATGCCTGATGAAAGTACAAGTAATACTTGACTATTCAATATGATAAAGACCAAAATAAAATAGTACTGCATTATTCATAAAATAAGCAGGTTATATTTCAAGATAGGTAAAAGTGGTAGCTATTAAAACTTAATGTCTAACTTCAGATTGAACTTGTCACATCCTGAAAATGAAGGAAAGTATTATGGTTTAAAACAACCAACAGATTTTAACAGGCTAACATATTTGTACCACAGATTAATATTAGAAATAATAATATATTTTTAATATGTTAAAGAAAATAACCCCATGAACATATCAGCACAGAAACATGTGTTATTTGGAGGGGGATCAAAGACAGGGGGCAGGTGAATGGAGACAAGAAGGGTAGATGAATACAGTCATAATATTCAATGAACAAATAGAAAAATGGAATTAGGAAACTTGAAGGAATGGGCGGCACTGGAAGTAATGGGGATCAACAGAAGGGATGACATTGGTCAAGATGAGTTGGACTCATAAGCTGACATGTTGAATTGAAACTCTTTGTGTAACTACTTAAAATAATAAAAAAGAAAATCTCAGAAGATATAGAAAATGCAGTTTCAAAGCAGGGCACCAGTGGCTCACGCCTGTAATCCTAGCTACTCAGAAGGCTGAGCTTTGAGGATCACAGTTCAGAGCCAGCCCAGGCAGAAACGTTGTGAGACTCTTATCTCCAATTAACCACCAGAAAACCAGAAGTGGCATGATGGCTCAAGTAGTAGAGTGCTAGTCTTGAGCTGTAGAGCTCAGAGACAGCACCCAGGCCCAGAGTTCAAGCCCCACAACAGACCAAAAAAAAAAGTGCAGTTTCAAAAATGTATTGCCTTTTTATGATAAAACTTAGAAAATAGAATAAATAACTTCCCTAACTGATATAGTGTAGTAATTCTCAATCATAGGTGATACTTACTGCTTTAAAGGGAACTTCTGGAAATATTTTCAGTTGTCACAACTTTGAAGAGGCTAGGGTCATTTCTAAACATTCTACAACATTCACAACAAACAGATCATCTGGTTCAAAATGGCAACATGCCAACGTTGTAAAATTCTGATTCAGGCCTATGTTCTCAAGCTTATGTTGTATGTGTGTGTGTTTGTGTATGTGTGTGTGTGAAAAGCCTAATGATAAATCACTGAACTTGTTACTTTTTTCAAGAACAAGGTTACAATACTATATGGCATCAATACCATTGCAGAGACACTGCCAGTGTAGTAGGGTGTAGGGAAGAGATTAAGAAAAGGATAGAAACAGAAGTACAGTGAATCATAAGTTATTGTCTATGTGAAACTTTGGAAAGGCTATTTAGGCATATCAATATTAAAAAATAAAAAATTACCACACACCAGCCACAACTTACTAGGAAATATGATTAAAAAATAGGTGCTAGTGGCTCTATAATTCTAGCTATACAGGAGGCTAAGATCTGAGAATAGAGGTCAGCTAGCTTGGAAAGATGAATCCTTGAGATTTTTATCTCCAAAAAGCCACAATGGGAGGCATGGTTCCAGTGGTGGGGTACTAATTTTAAGACTTGGTATTGACACACACATGCATGCACGAATACCCACAAAATGACATTCACACAAGCAACAAGAACTATACAATACTAAAAACATGTTTAACAAAAGATGGAGAAAGAAAACTTTTGACGGACAGAAATAAAAGAAGAATCCAATAAATTGAGTGATACATCATGTACATAGTGGTGCTGTGGCTCAAGTGGTAGAGCGCTTGCCTTGAGCTGAAGAGCTGAGGGACAGTTTCCAGGCCCAGAATTCAAGCTCCATGCCTCCCCCCCAAAAGAAAATATCTAAATGTCCTCTTGTTAATATGAATCTTTTATGCAATTCTAATAAAACCACCAAAGGAGGTACAGATAGGATGAGTGTGGTTCAAAACTAGTCACAGCAAAAGGTGAGATCTTATCTCAAGACTCAAGGTAGGGATTATGGTGCTTGCCTGTAATGTCAGCTACTTGGAAGACAGAGGTAGGAAGATTATAGTCTGAAACTGGATCTGGCAAAACGTGAAACTACCTAAAAAACAAACTAAAAAGCAAAAGTGGCTCAAGTGATAGAGTGTTATCAGCATAAATAAATAATAAATTAATACATAAAATTAAAGATAAAGAACACAAACACCAAAACTTAATGGACTAGCCTCAAACTAAAAGGAGATCTTTATAATATACAAAATTCTATAATGAACTGAAGAAAAAAGACATCACCCTCATAGAAAAATGGACAAAGAACATGAACATGTAGAAACTGGAGTGGCTAATAACAATGATAGTAATGATATATATGTTAATATGTAATGCAAATAAAAAGTAAAATCACTATATAATAATGTTGGCAAAAATGTAAAAGTCTGATCATTTTAAGGTTGCACATTATAGGGAAATTAGAGCTCTCATAGATCATTGGCTAGAGTATAAACTGTTATACTGTCTAAAGATATCTGTTCAACATGTAATCAAATATGCACAGTTTATAAGGGGAATTTTCAATTCTACCAAAAATTCTGGTCTAGCTTAAGGTACATATAGAGGGCATAAAATTTTCTAGTGATGCATGAGTGACAAAGAGTGCCAATTTTAGGTTCTAAACTTTATATATTTTAATTTAATCTGCCTGTGAACATGTGTGTTTACTCTGGATATTTCTTTCAAAACTCTGCTTCCATCACTACTGTTTTCCTTTGGTAAAGAAAGGCTCACTTCTCATTTATTCTGGATCTTCACAATGCTTTGCTCTGGAATGTAACCATCACTGGGGCATCAAACACAGAAATGCAATAAGGGAATGCCCTTAGAAACAGAAGCAAGCAAAGCAAACAAAGCTAGGCTGGGCACCAGTGGCTGAGCCTGCAGTCCTAGCAACTCAGGAGGCTGAGAGCTGAGGATCATGGCTCAAATTAGCCAGCGAATGAAAGCACCTGAGACTCTTATCTCCAATTAACCACCAAGAAGCCAGAAAGTATCTGTAGCTCAAGTGGTAGAGTGCTAACCCTGAGTAAAAATGTCAGGGACAATGCCCAGGCCCAGAATTCTAGCCCCAGGACTGGCACCAGATCAAAACAAACATAGAAACAAAAGAGCTTCTAGAATAAGCGTTAAAGGGGGGACTGATGGAAGTGGCATCACTGATCAAGATGTCTTGTATTCAGAAACTGCTTTGTTGAATGACAACTCTTTTGTACAGCTATTTAAAGCTAATAAAAATAAAGCATTAAAGGGGGAATAGTACCTTATTTCATCCAGGGAGCACATCTAAATTGTTTGATAATTACAGGGATACACATTAACTCATTTGCCTAACAAGTTTCAATTTTCTAATATTAAGTTTTATTTGACTAGTTTTATTGAACTGACTAAGCTGTAGAGAAGTTGTTAAAATGAGCTAAATATATGGTTAAAAGTTTTGAGAACATATTTAAAGCAAATCTATAATATGTATATTCCTAAAGAATTTTAAATTATGATAAATTTCAGATATAACAAAATAAGTGAACATATTTATAATTTTTTCAAAACAGCATAGAAGAATGCCAGTAGGACCTTTGAAAACCACTGTCCCCCCAAAACTCATATAAAATCTGGGTATTTAGCTGGGCACTGGTGGCTCATACCTATACTACCTATTTAGGAGGCTGAGATTTAAGGAACAAAGTTTGCAGACAGATTGGGCAGGAAAGTTCATGAGACTCTTATCTCCACTTAACCATAAGACAACCAAAGTGGTAGAGAGCTAGCCTTGAGTGAAGAGAAACTCAGGACAGTGCCCAGGCCCTGAGTTCAAGACCCACGACCAGAAAAAAAAGAAAAGATCTGGGTATTCAATATAACCTTTAAACCTTCCATGAATATAAAAATTGTATATTCAAATGCTGAAATATTATGAAGTATTACGATGCCTAGATATATAAGAATTACCATAGTATAGTCCAAAAGGATCAACATTTTTTTTTCAGGTTTTTTGTTGTTGTTTTTTGGTTTTGATTTGTCATAGGGCCCAAACTATGGGCCTGGGCACTGTCCCTCAGCTCTTCAGCTCAAGGCTAGTGCTCTAACCACTTGAGCCACAATGCCACTTCCAGCTTTTTTTTTTTTTTTCTGCTTATGTGGTGCTGAGGAATGGAACCTAGGCCACTTCCAGCCTTTTCTGTGTATGTGGTACTGAGGAATCGAATCCAGGGCTTCATGCATGCAAGGCAAACACTCTACCACTAAGTTACCTTCCCAGCCGCTCAATATTATTTAATCTTAAAAATTTACAGATTTGGGGCTGGGAAGGTGGCTCAGTGGTAGAGCGCTTGCCTTGCATGCATGAGGCCCTGGATTTGATTCCCCAGCACCACATAAGCAAAAAGAAAAAAAGCTGGAAGTGGTGTTGTGGCTCAAGTGGTAGAGCGCTAGCCTTGAGCTGAAGAGCTGAGAGACAGCATCCAGTCCCAGAGTTCAGGCCCATGACCAGATCCCCTCCCCCCCGCAAAAACTAAATAGATTTATGTAGTATTAAAAACTAGCCAAAGCAATACTATATATTGCTTAATATATGTTTGCAGTAAAAACATAAAATGGACAGAATATTCTGATGAGGAAAAGACAGTAATGAGGATAAGACACTGAAACTTGCCATATTTTATTCTTTCCTTTCAAAAATTAAGTAACTAAAGCAAAATATTAACATGTTAAATTTGGGGAGTATGAACAAAGATGTTATGCTAGTTTGTGTTTGAAATACTTTAGAAATAAAATAAATATTTAAAAATATAAGGTAATAATAGTGTTATCCTTTAAAATGAAACTACTTACAGGCCAAGGTGGTGGAACAGAAGTTACCTCTGGAGTATGAAAATAAGCAACACCATTGTGGTAAGTGTAAGGATATCCAGTTGAAGTTGTTAAATACATGGTTCCAGCAGCTGGCATTATACTAGAACCTAAAGCAAAGATTAAATAAATAATAATTGAAAGGTTAAAGGCAACTTTTAAACATATTTCTCAGAATTTGGAAAAATATCTTTTTGGCGGTACTGGGATTTGAACTTGTGTACTTGATAGACTGGCCTTTTTTTGCTTTATTTTTCAGATAAGGTTTCATAGTTTTTGTCTTGGTCTGGTCCTGTACCCATGACCTGCTACCTTCTATGCAGCTAGTACCACAAGCAAACACCACATTTGGCTTGTTGCCTGGGCTGGCTTGGAACTACATGCCTGATGATCTTTGCCTTTTCAATTGCTGGGATTACAAGCATGGACTACCTTGTCAGGCTGAAACATATTTATCTTAACATACCTACATAGCTACAGTAAAATATCACAGCACTAGCAGGGCGCTGGTGGCTCACTCCTGTAGTCCTAGCAACTCAGGAGGCTGAGATCTGAGGATCACGGTTCAAAGCCAGCCCGGGCAAGAAAATCCTTGAGACTCTTATTCCCAATAAACCACCAGAAAACCGAAAGTGGTGCTGTGGCTCAAGTGGTAGAGCGCTGGCCTTGAGCTGAAGAGTGCAGGGACAGTGCCCAGGTCCAGAGTTCAAACCCCACAACCGACCAAAAAAAAAAAAATCACAGCATTTATTTATTTTTTGCTGGTCCTAGGTCCTGAACCATAGCCTGGGTGCTGTTCTTAAGCTTTTTGGCTAAAGACTAGCACTATACCATTTGAAGTATAGCTCTCCTTTTCTTTTTCTTTTTTTTTATGCTTAGAGTCTCACAGAGTTTCCTGTCTAGGTTGGCTTCAAATTCTGACCCTCAGATCCCAGCGTCCTGAGTAGTTAAGATTATAGGTGTGAATCACTGGTGCTCTGCTAAATGTCACAATATGTAAAGGAAACACTCTAGGTTAAAGAATTTTTTTTGTGTTTGTCAGTCATGGGGCCGAATTCTGGGCCTGGGCGCTGTCTCTGAGCTCTTCAACTCAAGGCAAGCACTCTACCATTTGAACCACAGCACCACTTCTGGCTTTTTCTGCTTAAGTGGTACTGAGGAATTGAACCTAGGGCCTCATGCATGCAGGCAAGCACTCTACCACTGAGCCACCTTCCCAGACCAAAATGCTTTATTTAATCTTTTTGTTGTTGTTGGTCATAGGGCTTGAACTCTGGGCTTGGGTGCTTCCCATAGCTCTTCAGCTCAAGGCTAGTGCCCTAACCACTTGAGCCACAGTGCCACTTCCTAAAGAATCTTTGCAGTATGTATTTTTAAACTCTTTACCTCATGGTGATTCAAGTCTAATAAAATATATTAAAAACTGCTGGTTCCAGTGGCTCAGACCAGTAATCCTAGCAACTCAGGTTTTAGTCAGCTTGGACAGGAAAGTCCATGAGACTATTTATCTCCAATTAACTTCAAAAAGCTGGGAAGCAGGGCTATGGCTCACGTGGTAGAGTGCTAACCTTGAGCAAAAAATCCAGGGACAGCACCTAGGCCCTGAGTTCAGGCCCAGGACGCACACGCGCATGCATGTGCGCACACACACACACACACACCTCCAATTCAAATATTAATGTTAGTATAATGAAACAAAGAACTTATTAGTTTATTATCAGCTAAGTAATCATTTTTACAATCATAAATTACATATAATTTAGTTACCTGAAGACTACAGGTAAGGTAGTAAAATTGATAGGTCTTTTTTTTTATTTTTTGGGTCCGGTCATGGGGCCTGAATTCTGGGCCTGGGCGCTGTCCCTCAGCTTTTCAGCTCAAGGCTAGCGCTCTACCACTTGAGCCACAGCACCCCTTCCAGCTTTTTTCTTATGTGGTGCTGAGGAATCGAACTCAGGGCCTCAGGCATGCAAGGCAAGCGCTCTACCACTGAGCTACCTTCCCAGCCCTGATAGGTCTTATCTAGACCTGTTAGTAAGTATTCAAAGATGACAGAGGTAGTGAAGTTGGAGAGGATTCTACTGCCCTGAAGACATTTTGGTGTTCCCCTAATTCTTCAAGTTTACTGTCATTGAGCACTTATTCCTGTTATGACCCTTGTATGTCTGTTCCCCCTCTGTTACAAGTGCTGCTATTGCAAACATGATGACAAGTCTTCATAGGGCTAGTCTAGGGTCCCCAACTCACTTTTTTAGGCCAGATTGTATAAAAACAAAGCAACACAGACAAAGTAAAAAACAAAGACAAAACAAAAAACAGGCTGTCCAACCTAAAAGACAAACAAAAGTACACACACAGGCACACATACATTTTTTATCATGGGAGATTTTAAAAGTTATAGGAGTTAGATTAATTTAAGTACTTCCCCAGAAAGATTGTGCAAATTAGTAAAACTAGGATCTTGCAAACACATTTTTGACCTTACTGGCCTCAAATTGCAATCCTCCCAATTCCTGGTTTCTGTGATTTTTTTCAAGTTAATTACCTTTTGTCTCTTTGTTCATCTTTCTGTTGGTGTAGGTGGTAATGCTTCAACTCACTATATCTTCTCAAATTTAAAATACTTTAGAATCACTTAGTTTATTCATATACAAATTCCAGATATGTATCTCCAGAGATTGTGATTTAGTAAGTCTGATATAGGATTGGAACTGAGAATTGAACAGCTGCCAGGTGAACTGATGCTGTCTGCAAAACACACTTTTAAGTAGGATGATCCTACCATTAACTAGCATTACCACCTCTCAGCTTTTATGCTTCCACTGTATTTGCTCTACTATTTATTTTAGTAGCTTTTAACTACATACTTTTGAGACTCTGATAAAAGCCACAGACATTTTTTTCTCAAACATACATACAGTCATGGGGTAAAGGAATTTAATGGTTCAATTTGTTAAAAGTATGTATGAATCTATGGGATTATCACAATGAAATTCTCCCCATATGATTAATGTATATTAATTAAAAATAAAACTAAGATAAAGAAAAATATATAATTAAACCTAATTATATTAAATAAACCTAATTATATGTTTAGGAGGGTCATGAGTTCCTCCCAAAGATCATCAATAAACTATAGTTTATCTGTTAAATAAAATTTTAGGGTATATTATAGGACATTGAACTAGGCTCTGTGACTATAGCAAAAAAAATTGGACCTCTTCATAGCAATTAGGTTCTGATAGGGAAGATATTCATTAGCTAGCTCTATAATTGATTTATTAAAATTCGTATTAACCATAGGGAGGTAGTACAGGGAACGTAAGTCACTATACTGTAGAGTTACAACATTATGTAGACATACTTATTTCTCTCTATAGATCTCTGAAGCATTTGTGAGGAAATGATTGCTGAGAAGTAGGGATGTTCTAGAACTGAGAAGGTGAAATGGCTGAAGAACAAAAAGGAAAGGGACGAGCAAGTTAAAACAAGCTGAGGAAAAGATGTAAAATGTGTGCTTCTGAAAGATACTGAAATGCCGTGTGAATGATGAATGGGAATGTGAAAAGACTAGATTCAAAAGAGATCAGTTACGAGGGTGTTCCAGTAATCAAGCCCAGCAGGGTAAAACTGGGACAAGGGTGCTGTTAATGAGATGGAAAGAAGTGATAGATTTGAGAAAAATTAAGAACTTTGTGTTTCTGAATTTTTTTTATTTGTGTGTGTAGCACAGGGGAATGAATTCAAGGCTTTGTGCTTGGTAGACAAGTATTCTTCCACTTGAGCTCTGCCCCTATCCAGTTTTCTTTAGCTATTTTTCCTGAAAGGGTCTCTTTTGCCCATGGCTGGCTTTGGAACATTGTCATTCTACTTTTGCCTCCTTCATAGCTGGGACTGTAGCAGTGAATCATTACACTTGACTTGTTCTTAGACATAGGGTCTAAGTTTTTGGCCAAGCTGGCTTTTAGTTGATTCTCATTTCTCCTCCTAAGTAGTTTGGATTACAGTATGGGCCAATGCACCTGTAAATGTATATTTTAATACCTATTTATCTTTTTGGAAAAATTTAAAACAGCCGTGGAGTCAATAGTCTTAATTTGAAAGTGAATACTATTTCTCACCAGTTACCTAAGTTCCTATACTTTGAAAGCTGGAATGTACGTAGTTGTATCAGACAAGAGAAGGCATATGCTGAATGTGAATGGCCTCAGAGAATGAATTTTGTACAAACAATTGCTTTCAGGAAGTACTTTTATAGCCAAATAATATATTACATAACAGAATGAAAATTATGCATGGTGTTTTTGCATAAATGATGAAAAATTTACAATTCTAGTGTATATCGGTTTAGTATACACTGGTCAAGATTAGTTTTGGTCTACTATTGAAAAGTATTTTAGAAAAAGTGACTTTGTCTTTCAAAGACTGTATTTTCTATAAATCTGATGCTAATAATACTACTTGAATTATTGTGAAAATTTCACCAAATAAATGAAAATCTATAATGCTGGTTCTTGTAATGAGTAGTTCTGAAAAATATTTATTAATTTGAAGGCATTCACCATAAAGGACTACATCTCATAACATATACTAATAATAGTAATCTTAAAATGTTCAGGATTCTGCCATTTTTAGTACATTATTTTTGTGTATTTTTCCCTAGTTAAGAAACTAAGACATATTCATTTTTGGGTGAAAAATACTGATTTCATTATCGACTTTACAATGAAAGAAACATGATATTTTAATGTCTCTGAAAGTCCAATATTTCATATAATACTCAGATTAGCAAACATTGAAAAATATATTAGCTCTCAATACATACGAGGAATCCCTACTTGTTGTTTTCTTATTGCTGGACCAATGTTCAATTTCTTATCCTTATAATTAAGTTTCTCAGCCTAAAATAAAGGAAAATTACTTTATTATTTTGGCACTGTAATTTACAAGCCCAATAAAATTAGTGAGAAATAAATTCAAACTACTGTCTGTGAAAAGAGCAGGATATAGTAGAAATGGTACTTTGTAGATGTGAATAAACTGTATCTTAATACTGGTTCCAATGCACTGAGCCTAACTTCTCATTTACAAAATGGTCAATCCTCATTATGTGTTCTTTCTGTGTTTGTGAATTTGTCTATTCACTGAAATTTAGTTGTAGCCCTCACATAAATACTTGGGGCCATTCTTAGTTTTAGTGGAACTACAGAGAGTAGTAAAAAGGTTGAGTGGACTGACACACTGGTTCCCAACTGAGGTCAAACTAGGTGCTACTTTTTGTTTCAGCTGTTGTAAACAAATGCCCTTTCTATATTCTACTTGGTACCACAATTTATCACTTCTTTTGTTTTTGTTAGTGTTTTGTAATTCAAAATGGCTCCCAAGTATAGTGGTGAAGTGCAGATTAGTGTTCCTGAGCACAAGAAGAGAAAGTCATATGCCTTATAAAGAAATGTGTATTAGATATTAATTCAGGCATACATTATAATGCTGCTGGCCATGAATTCAATGTTAATGAATCAACAATCTATTAAATGTGGTATCTGTTATGGTTTGAATATGAAGGGTTCCCTCTAAAAGGCTCATGAATTAAATGCTTGGTCCTTAGCTGCTGGATCCAACCAATCGTTGGATCATGAGGGCTCTGACTTAATGGGTTAATCCACTGATGTGCTCAAAATCTGATGGCACTACTGGCAGGTAATGAAAACTTTTGGAGGTGGAACCTACTTGTAGGAAGCTGGTTTCTGTGAGCAAGTTTTGGGGGCTGTATCTTACTTATTCTGGGACTCTTATTCCCTCTGTGCTTTCAGGTCACCATCAGATGAATAGTTTCTTCTGGTACATGCTACCACTGCAGAATGTTCTGCCTCACTAAAGGGCCACAGCAAAGGGCCAAAATAAATTCTTCCTTTTGTTTTTCTCAGGTATCAGTAAGTGAAACAAAGTATTTGTGAAGACTATCACAGTGTCTTTAAATGAAACACACATCAAAATTATGCACTGGTTTGTTGATCAGTTGGTGGTGATGTGGTGACCAGCAGTTCTTATTACCTTACTTTTTTATTTTTCCTTAGAAAGAGTAGCATGTCAGTTTTGTTAATTGAAGGCTCATGATGCCTTTACAGACATGACTATTCTAAGTAACAAGAACTGACTAGGCCTCACACTAGCTTGGCTTGCTTGCCTTGCTGATGCTCTGTTATTTGAGCTATGTCTCTAGCCTGACTTTTTGCTGGTTATTTTGGTGATTAAGTCTCATACTTTTCTGCCCAGGCTGGGTTTAAATTATGATCCCTTGAATCTGTTTCCAGAGTAACTAGGATTACTGGTGTGAGGTACTAGTGCTTGGCTAGACTCTCTCTGATATTAATACATGTACTTCAAACTGTACTTTTTATAAAAAATTAAATGTTATACTTACCATAACTTGAAATTATAATGAATTATGAGCTATAGACTTTTTCTAATTTATAGACGTTTTAATCTACTAATCTGTATTTTTTCTACTAATTTAAGTAAGTTTAAAATTTCTACTTAATGTGTTTTTGTAGGAAAAAAGTAATTTCACATAATAAATCTTACTCTGGGAACCTATATTTGTAGTATATTTTAGAAATTAAAAACATTAAAACTTCACAAAAATATACCTTTAGGTTATAAGTTTAAGCAAATAAAGTGAAAAATTTTAACAGGTTTTTAAATCATACTCGTCTAAATGATCTGAAATTTGTTGTGTAGATGGTTACTTGGAAACCACTGCTAATCTTATGACACATATTCTAAAATATTTTAGCAACTGATCATTGTAATTTATTATTAAGCATCTTAAGAATTAGCTTCAGAGAAAGAAACTGTAAAATTGAAATTAAATGCCAAAAACCTTACCTCTTGTAAAATTTTTTGTGCATCTTCTTGGGTTTCAAAAGTGACAAAACCATACCTAAACAAATGCATTTATTATTATTAATCATTTTCTTAGAACACTGCATTCATTTTATTATTATTTTTTCTGTTTATGAGGTGCTGAGGAATCAAACCCAGGGCCTCATGCTTGCAAGACAAGCACTCTACCTGAGCCACCTTCCTAGCCCTTCATTTTATTATTATTATTTGCAGTGCTGGGGACAAAACCCAGATCCTTATTCATGCAAATCAAGTGCTTTACCACTGAGTTACAAACCCTAGTAATATATCAATTATTATCATTAAAAAAATGGTCCACTACAGGAGAAAGCCTGTTTTGATGCTGTAACAGCATGGGAATTTGAGTAGTTATTCATAATTTAACTCTACAAAAATAACTTTAAAAAACCCCAAAACACAGGGTTTTTATTTTTCTCGTGGAGCTGGGGATCAAATACAGTGCCTCATGCATGCATGTATATATGTGTATATATATGTGTGTGCACACACATATATATGCTTGTGTTTGAACTCAGGGTCTTGAGCTTGCACTCTACTTTTGAGTCATGCCTCTAGTCCTTGAATTTTGTAATTTCCTTTTAAAGCAAGAGAAATGTGGTTTAGGAATTACTTTTTAAGCCATCTTTAAAAATTAATAATTTCAACACAATATTTTTTGTATTGGTAAAGAATTGTACAAATATATTACTCAATTATATTTAACACATTTATACTAGCAATATAATTAGTACAATTTTGAAACTGTCAATAAAAATGTATTCACATTTTATAGATTTTATATCTGCTTTTAATATATGATTGCTATTTTCAAATACAGATATGCTAGATTCCCAGGCATTTAGAAGGCCAGAGGCAGGAGGATTATATAAGGCCAGCTATATAAGGAGATTCTGCTTAAAAAACCAAGTCACATTAAAAAATATACAAAGATACAAATTCTTGATGAGAAAAAGAAACAAAAAATGTTTATCAAACAAACAAGTTCTAGATAGCAAATGTAAGTTCTGTTAGATAACTCAGCAATATTCTTTTTATTAAATATCTTGTGTAGTTTTTCAGTTGATAATTAGGGTATCAAAAACTTTCTTTTTTTGTGTATGTCAACTTTGACATTTTGAACTCAAGCCTTTAACGCTTGATACCTCCAGTTTTTTGCTACTGGGTTTTAAACTCTGGACCTTGTACTTGCAACCACACCTGAACCACACTTCCAGCTTCTATCTGCCTTGATTATTTTTGAAGTAGGGTTATACTTTATGCCCAGGCTGGACTGGGATGAGCTCCTCATACCTGTGCTTCTGCATGCTGCCTGCTATGACAGGATGCATCCTTGGTATAAGTTATTGTGCCTCCCCCCTGGGTAACAGCTGTATGCCACCTCACCTGCATCTCACCTGCCCAGCCACTACATGAGATGGAGGTTGGCAAACTTTAGATTTCTACCTCCCAAGTAGCTAGTATTAAAGGCTCCAGCTACTTTGTTAGGCAAAGGTTTTGCTTTTTGCTCGACCTCAGACTACTTCCTATCTATAGCATCCTGTACAGCTGGATCACAGACATGTACCAACCATGCCCAGCTTATTGGTTGAAATGAGGATTTTGCCTGGGCTGGGCTCAAACTGAGTATCTCTAGTGTCTGATCTGAATATTTTCTTTAAGTTTTGTGTGTGTGGTGATGGAGATTAGAACCAAAAGCTCTACCCCTGGGTTACATCCCCAGCCCAATTTTTATTTTTTCAGCAAACAAATTTCTCTTTATCTGTTTGGCCAGTTTGTCTTAATATTGTTTGGTAGCCCAAGGAAATATTTTGTTCTTATAAAAATGGCTTCTCTGTAGAAAATAGCTCTTCTAGGGTACCAGGGTTTCATATATTTTCTATGATTGTTTTCGATCTACTTCACTGGTCTTTTATTTAATCCTATAAATATGTCTCATTTCTCTTTGAATAAAGCACAGTCCTTCACAGATCTCTACTGCCTCATCTATTTTTCCTTTGTAATAGAATTCCTTAAGTGAATGCACTTTGCAAACTACTTTTTTCTTCTCTGAAATGGCTTTTATATACCCAGTTCTCTCATTTCCAGACATAGTCTACTGCTTTCTTCTTAATTTTATTCTTCTAGATTTGATAGTTAAAAATAATTCTTAATAAGAATGGCATATCTCAGTTAACAACCTGCAGACATGTATCAGGGTCAACTGTTTTAAAATAAAGCTTTCTACAGTCTAAAGCAAGGATGTGATTCCAATGTATCTGGTACTTAAGATTCTGCTTACCAAAAGTAACTGGTACTTCAGGTTTTTGCTTCCTTAGCCAAAGGAATATATTAATCTCAATCTGAAATGCTTGCTGTCTTACACTTAGTGGCCCTCTGAGCCAGACCAAGAATAGGTTCCTAACATTTTAAGGAATATTATAGTACACCATCACATCACACCAAAATACACCCCCCCACATACAGCCCCCACATACCACCCCCAACCCCCCCAAAAAAATAGGATATCAAATATAGAGAAAATGGAGCTGAGAATGTGGCTTAGTGGTAGACTGCTTGCCTAGCATACATGAGGTTCTGGATTCAATTCCTCAGTACTACATAAACAAAAAAATAAAGTATATTAAAAATTTAGAGGAAAAAAAAAAGAGGGCATAAGTCAGGCGCCGGTGGCTCCCACTTGTAATCTTCATTACTCAGGAGACTGAAATCTGAGGATTGTGGCTCAAAGCTAGCTAGGGCACAAAAGTCCCCGAGATTCTTTTTTTTGGGGGGGGTCTGGTCATGGGGCCTGAACTCTAGGTCTGGGCGCTGTCCCTCAGCTCTTCAGCTCAAGGCTAACGCTCTACTACTTGACCCACAGCATCACTTCTGGCTTTTTTCTGCTTATGTGGAACTGAGGAATGCATGCAAGGCAAGCGCTCATGCATGCAAGGCAAGTGCTCTACCACTGAGCCACCTTCCCAGCCCCCGAGATTCTTATCTTCAATTAATCACCAAAAAAGCTGGAAATGGAGCTGTGGCTTAAGTAGTAGCGCATCACAAAAGCTCAGGGACAGCAGCTAGGCCCTGAGTTCAAGCCCTAGAAACCAGAACAAAAAAAAGGAGGGCACAAAACTATTTTAAATAAAAACCCCAAAGCAAATCAGCATATAAAATCGAATCTAGCAATCCAACAAAAATGCAATTGTTAATTCTATACACATTCTATAATGGTACTAACCCTTTGGACACTCCAGCTCTGTCATTTACAATCTTCACTTCTTTTACAGACCCATATTGGGAAAAAAATTTTCTCAAGTCATTTTCATTCGTCTAATGACATAGAAAGAAAACATTAAGAAACATTTTTATATTTGTAAAAGATGAAACAACTCTTGTTTTAGAGACAGAAAAAGTTATAACTGGGGGGTGGGGGAGGGGGAGCAGGGAGGATTGGGTGGGGGGCAGAGGGGGGGAGGATGGGAAGGGATGGGAAGGGGAAACAAAGGAGGAGGCTACAATGCTTGATAAGAAATGTACTCATTATCTTACCATGTAATTGTAACAGTATTTTCACAATAAAAAAAGGTAATGTAAAAAAAAAGTTCTAACTATGTAAGTATGAATAATATGGTTGAACAATGCCTCTCATTAAAATAGTGCATAAAATCATTAAATACTAAAAATCTATATACTTTGTTTTATGCAGTAGCTATGTTTTAAAATTATCATATAACCATTAAAACACTAACTTGTCCTAAAACTATGAAGATCACTATATAACAGAATCTTATTTTGGCAAGTAAGTTAAGTGTAACATTTTTCTTAAGAAAAAAGTAATTTAAAAAAAATTGTGACAGACTGATCACACAGAAATAATGAGCTATACTTTTTTTTTTTTTGACTAGTCACAGGGCTTGAACTCTGGGTCTGGGTACTTCCCTCAGCTCTTCAGCTCAAGGCGAGCACTCTACCACTTGAGCCACAGCTCCACTTCCAGTTTTCTGGTGATTTATTGGAAATAAGAGTGTCACGGACTTTCCTGCCCTGGGCTGGCTTTGAACTGAGATCCACAGATCTCATCTTCCTTAGTAGTTAGGATTATAGGCATGAGCTACTGGCTCCCAGTGAGCTATATAAATTATATTTAGTAATATAATATAATATTACATTTAATAGCACAGTGATTTTTTTTTTCCTTAAAAAAGATCTCGACTGGGCACTGTTACTCATGCCTGAAATTCTAGCTACTCAGGAGGCTGAGATCTGAGAATTACAGTGTGAAGCCAGCTCAAATTCTTTTTTTGGGGGGGACTCTGAGCCTGGGCACTGTCCCTCAGCTCTTCAGCTTAAGGCTAGCGCTCTACCACTTGAGCCATAGTGCCACTTCTGGCTTTTTTTTTTTGGTCGGCCGTGGGGCTTGAACTCTGGGCCTTGGCGCTGTCCCTCAGCTCTTCAGCTCAAGGCGAGCGCTCTACCACTTGAGCTACAGCGCTACTTCCGGTTTTCTGGTGGTTTATTGGAGATAGGAGTCTCACGGTCTCTCCTGCCTGGGCTGGCTTTGAACCGCGATCCTCAGATCTCAGCCTCCTAAGTAGCTAGGATTACAGGCGTGAGCCACCAGTGCCTGGCTCTGGCTTTTTTTTTCTTTGATTTTACATCAACTTTATTCTCAGAGCCACCTGTGTGAATTAAAGCCTCACATTGCCAACTGTTGTAGTAATCATATTCCTTCTTACATGTACCAAAATCTCATACCAGCAATGAGTTCTGGGTTGCAAAAGAGGATTTACTATTTGCACCTGTCTGTAAGGCTTTGTCCGGCTTTTTTCTTTTTGCTTATGTGGTGCTGAGGAATCGAACCCAGGGCCTCAGGCATTCAAGGCAAGCACTCTACCACTGAGCCACCTTCCCAGCCCCCCAGCTCAAATTCTTATCTCTATGTAACCACTAACATGTTGGAAGTAAAGCTGTGGCTCAAGTGGTAGGGTTATAGTTTTGAGTAAAAAGCTCATGGACAGCACCCAGGCCCTGATAGGGTTATTTTTTTTTAATAGTTTTGAATAAAAAGCTCATGGACAGCACCCAGGCCCTGAGTTCAAGCCCCAGGACTGGAACAAAACAACAAAAACAAAAAAGACATCTCTCCATGTGAGTTCTAACAGGTATTGTGAAATACACCTATTTGGAATTAAGTCTATTTGAGTTTAAATATCCATGAAAGCATGTAATGGCTGATTACTTAATCACGTATATTTTATTCAGATATTTTATTCTTACAACAACAGAGACCTTCTTTGGTGACCAAATTCTACATTCTATCATAGAAAGTTATTTGCTCAGATGAAAGTTTCAGAGGTTGCTCAGGAACCTGAGATAAAGATTAGGGTTTGAACAGGACTAAGCTCAAAAAAATGGTCTTCTTTTGAAAATCATAGTAGCTCATTATTTGGGTGACTGGAGTATTACACAAAAAGTATACTTAGTGTGAAATGGTGACAAGAAAAATATGGACATTTGAGTAAAAAAAGTAGGATTCTAGTCTCATTTTACCATTGAGTAGCCAGGAGCATAGAATAAATTAATGAGCCTCAGTTTCCTTTTATGTGAAACTATACAACTATACATGCTTAATTTAACTTATGTAACTGTTGAAAAGATTCTTTATATTAAGACAATTGGATACTTAACAATATACTAAAATATTTTATAGTTGTACAAGGAAATAATTTCTAAGAAATGAAATAACTTCCAATGTATACTATGGTACATCCATAAACTGATACCTTAAAGTCAATTCCTCCTACAAAGATGCGATTAGGGATCACAGTTCCATATCTTGGGGCACTTGTTGGGTTATTCAAAGGCACAGGTGACACAGGATTAGGGGATGGAGACAATGAATCTGTTTGCGTCTGATTTGATGTTTGCTGTAAAATAAAATTCTTTTAAAATTTATAACAGGCTTAAAAAAAGATGAGTCATTTAGGTAAAATACAGTCTCTCAGAGCTTTGACTAATATGACAATTATAGTTTATTGTGACAATTATTATAGCTTATTATTAGAACTAATAACTTGGAGGCAACAAAATATAAAGAAAACACAAGCTAACCCTACAATAGAGAAGATCTTAATGATTAAGCATACTAAACTGAATTAAAATAGTAATTATTAGATATATTACTTAATCATTAAGGAAAAATATTAAACTTATAAAGAAGAAAGACAAAAGCAGCCATAGGCAGCTGGCAATTGGCCCGGTACAACCAATTAGCCTCTAGAGTGTCAGAGTTGGCCTGGTGCTCACAGCTATGTAGTGGTGTTCTCTTGTTAACAGATAACCATTAATAGACAAAGTCCCTCTGATTTTGATGAATCTTTTAAGTTGGTTGACTTTTTTGTTTTTTTGGTGCCAGTGTACTGAGGCTTGACCTCAGAGTTTCACTCTCCCGCTTAGCTTTTTGTTCACAGCTGACACTTGAGTTGCAACTCCTGTGCCAGCTTTTTGCTAATTGGAGATATGTCTCATAGATCTGTCTTCCTGGACTGACTTTGAACCTCCATCCTAGATCTTAGCCTCCTGAGTATTTAGGATAATAAATGGGAGCCACTAGCACCTGGTTGACTATTCCTTTTTTATCCATTAGTTTTAGCCTTTTGTTGCATGTTAGATGAGAATTAACAGACACAATCTTATAATAATCCTACTTCCCAACCGCATGCATCACACAATCATGGTTTTTGAAACCCATTTCTTCTTTCCTAAACCCTGTCTTAAAATTACAGTTTGACTTCCTACAACACCTTCAACACCTTCTGAGAGGCTCCATGGTATACTAACAGTATGACTTAACAGACCCAACTTTATTAAATTATAAATGTGTTCTTGGTAGGCTTGGGCTTTTTAAAAGGGCATTGGTAAGTTGATAAATCCTGATATCCAAATTTACAATTTTCAGCCTGAAAGTAAAAATTTAAAAATTTGCTTGGATATTTGAAAATTAAAAAAATTACATACTTGTAAGTATAAATTTTTATGCAAAGAACTGAGCTCAGTACATATCTATATGTTTACAACTTTAAGTCAAGACTTAAACTTACTCATTTAAAAACTTATTAGTATAAACTCATTGTACAAAGATATTTCATTGTAATATTTATATACAAACATAAAATGTTTGTTGATCAAATTTATCCAGAGGACTTCAATTTAATAAATATTTATTAGCACTAAACTTTTCCACAATAGCAAGACAATAGACATATAATACTGAAGAGAAAAGATGAGAAATTTGAAAAGGAAGCTATTAAAAAACTTGGTTATTTTCCTTGTAGAATAAATGAGCATGCCAGGTGCTGGTGGCTCATGCCTATAATCCTAGCTACTCAGGAGGCTGAAATCTGAGGATTAGCCAGCCCAGGTAGAAAAGTCCCCACGAAACACTTTCTCCAATTCAGGGAAACTGGAAGTGGCACTGTTTTCAAGGTGGTAGAGTGCTAGCCTATCTGGGTGCTGGACAGCACCTAGGCTCTGAATTCAAGCCCCATGAAGGACCAAAAACACAAACAAAACAACAACAACAAAAAAGCAAGCAGACTTTGAAGACAGTGTATAACATACTGACCCAGGTCCATCAAAAAGACTAAAGTTCTTAATTCCAATTCTGTGAGAAATTAATACATAAAAATCAATTTACAACTTTGTAGAGTTATTCTTTTTCATTTCAAGGCCCCAAAAACAGTAATCCCTAAATCAATTTCTGCAGATGTGCAGAAAAATTAGTAAGCTAGTGGGATCCCTGGATACTGAATAGACCTTAAGGTTTTCTTCCTCATCCAGCCTTCTTTTTTTCAGAGCAAACTCACACCTCATCCCTGCAGAGTTTATAAAAGGCTTCTTTTAAACACAGAAAACCCATCCCATTTAATAATTACTATGTTGTTAATTTTCTTTGAAAAAAATTGGAAATACAATTATAGTTTCCTTCCTGATTACTGGGAGAGGTTATCTGCAACTTTGATTACTGCACTCATTTGAATTTAGCACAGAACGCATGCTTCGGAGGAAATGAGATGCTTCCTTTTATGTTTCAACTGTGGATTGGTACTGCTAGAACAATCTAATAGGGTAATACATGTAACTTTGTCATTTTCTCAGTGTAGGAAATATTTGCTAAATTTGATAAAATCAGTCTTTGGACTGAGGATGTGGCTCAAATAGTAGAGTGTTTTGCTTAGCAAGTACGAGTCCTGGAGTTCCATCCTCAGTGCAAAAAGATACGAAAAAAAAGAGAGAAGAGTATCATATTTTCAATCTTGAGAAAGTAAAGGATAGTCGCTGCGAAATGAAAACCATCAACTTTTTTTTAGTCAACTGAAGTAATTCACTCTTCTCTAAGGCTTCGCTATATGGTAGGTTTCAACGGCTTGATTTTTCTCCTGTTTACCAGGTAAATTAATAACATGTAATGTGCTTATTATCGCTGTTGCTACTGCAAAATGCAAATATTCACGACCCCCCCCTTTAAAAAAAGCATAGTAGCGTGTGCAAGTAGTGCCATTTCCTAGCAGGTGCTCAATGAACCTCTGTTGAAGGAATAAAGGAGCGGTTCGTTTCTTCAAGAGAGACCTCCTTTGGGACAGAATGGACATTTGAATGGGGGGCCGAAGAAGACAGCACAGATAACGTCCTAGAAAACGTTTTAATGTTAGCGGTAACAGGGCAGAGGCAGGGTCTAAATGCCTTGAGATCTGGCGATGCACTGAATTGAATAAGGCGACTCCCCGCCCCCCCCCCCGTTCCACTGTCAGTACCTTGACAAGGGACTAGGCACCCAGGGAAGGACTGGGTTCGAGGGAAGGGTCTTCGGCTGAGTACCAACTCCTGGCCCTCGAGCTGATTATTCTCCCAAGTCTGTACCCCCACTGCCGCCCCCGCCCCCGACACCCTCGGACACCCCTCATCTCCCGGACCCAGACAAGAGGAAGAGCAGGGCTAACCGTCGCAGTCCCGGCGGCCTCCGTGCTCCGTCCCCTCCGAGGCCAGCAGGTGGAGGCGCTGGGGGAAAAGGCCGCCGCCACTGCGTCCTCGGGATCTCTCAGGTCATCGTGAACCGGGGCGCCGATTCGAGGATCCACCCCCTCCCCACCAAAGTGCGGGAGGGAAAAGAAGGCTAGCCAGCGCGAAATTTTGCCGGGCGAACCCCTCCCCGCCAGCAGCCGTGGCGGGAACCCTCAACGGCACCGGCCCCCCTGCCCCCCAGCCGCCCGCCTCGTGTGCAGCGGGCCTCGGCCACGCACGTGGCGCGTGCTGATTGGCTGTCGGCGGGGGCGCGGCG